GGGACTCAGGAGTGGGGGCTTGGAGTCCAAGTTTGGACGAGGACCTAGACCCCTTGATAGGAGAGTGATGGGTTGGTCTTGCTTGTGCCTGGGGTATAAGCGGGGCGTGTGTTTCGGGGTACCCAACTGGGATACATTGGTTCGTGAATCACCGTGTGATACGGTATGGCTTGGCTATGATCTAGCACCATAGTAAGAACTGGAAGATGAAAGGGAGTGAATGGATTTGATTGCTCAACTCTTGCTTGAAAGTAGAACATGTGCTTACATAGAATGGTTAGCTAATGAACTAATCATGACTGCTAATAAAACACATACATAAGGATTCACTACTAGTAATGCTTTTCGTAAACAAAAAGGAAACCCAGCAAACCATAAAGCTTATCATATCCTTTGGAGTCAGGAAATTATTCCCACTAGACGGGTAAGTCTTGCGAGTACATTGTGTACTCAGGGTTTATTTACCCCTGTTGTAGGTGCAGCTTGAGGAGTGGCTGTTGTGTGGAGGATTCTTCTGGTGGGCATAGATAGATCCTTGTATCTTATCTTTAGATGTTTATTTCAATTCCACTATTTAAATTCCGTACTCTGAACTTGGTATTGTAATAATGTATTTCTCAGAACTCTTGTTGTATGAAATGGACTAAGTATTGTAAACTCGCTCTCATTATTGGATCATGGATGAAAAACGTGGATTGTTCGAGTTCTCCCTTGGGGTGTTCTTGATGGAAACTGTCCGATGTAGCTAACTTTCGGGGTGCTTAGTGTCTGGTGGAAGACAAGCACCTCCGGAAGCGTGCTATTTTGGGCGGTTCTGCCATAGAGTCCTTGTCCTATCAGAGAGTACTAGAAACATTTTGGAGGGAGTGATGTGATGGTTCTTTGGCTAAGAGGTACTATGCAAGGTTATAAAGGAGGTTCTTAAAAAGTTTTATTTGGAATGGCAATTGGGTTGTGACAAGTTCTCCCCCTACTTGGAATGAAGCTCGTCCTCATGCTTCACCAAGCAGTAGATCGAATTGTCTGACTAGAGCTCTCTCGCTCACAGCAACTCCTCTTCTCTACTGCGGCAGGGACAGACGAAAAGGCTTTGCTTATGGGTTGGGTGAGATTGGATAGGATTTAGTGCATTTGCATTGAGAGTTTACCTCTAGTGGCACTAGAGGGTTATAGAAGCAATGGGATTCTTATTACTCTTGGTGGTTGGCTGGCCTAGACAACTTGGAGGTAGAGGACTTCGTCGAGCACCGCCTGTGGATTGTGCAAGGGCTCGGTAGGAGGATTTGTGAGGGGATCTTGTGTTCGTTCCCCACCAGCGAAGGTGAAGAGTAACTCTAGTGGAATCATGGCTATTGGTCAACCTCGTGATCGAGCTAGCTCAAAGGCAAGCACTCGCAGGGAGATGATTTTGAGGGATCGTTGAGCAAATGGAGGAGCGGTGATCCTTGGACGTGCCACAATGGGGAGTAGGTAGCCCGCAAGCTACTAAACCTCAAGGAAAAATCTTGCATCAGCTTTGTCCCAGTGGTTTGTGTCTTCTACACTTGATCCTTACTTGTTGTGCTCTTTTGCTTATGTAGTTGAGTAGCTCTTGCTTGTTTTAGTATAGTTGTTCTTGCTAGAGTAGTTCTTAGTGTAGCTTGTGCTCCAATTTGTTAGTTGTTTGTTCTAGTGAGTAGCTTAGATGCTTTAGCTCTTACTTCACTAGACTTGTGTAGGAGTGCTTGCTTGGCTTGTAGACTAGGTGTTATTAGGGCGCACATTTAATATTAATACTTGTGCCTAGTTATGTTGTGGCTTGAAGGAAACTTTAATAGGCTATTCACCCCTCTATCCATCAACTCATCCTTTTCAATCCCCCGATCTAGTGCTCACCACCTTGATAAGACTCTTGCCCCCCTTAGGATTAGGAGTCAGGAGATCATTACCTTGGAAAAAGCGAACCATTAGGGGCTTCTTGTGGCCAAGAGACCTTGTAGATGGCCTTCTGGACAATGGGGTGCACGACCATTCCTTCCCTAGTGTCCTCTTCAAAGAAAGGGATTGGACAATAGAGTAGGAGAGGCAAATGGACCTCTCCCTGGGTTGGCAGACCTCTAGGGTGATCACCTAGCCTAGGATAAGACCTCTCGACCTCCTCCTCCAATGGCATGATGACTAGAGGCACCATCGAGATGGCCTTGATCTCCTCCATGTTTTCCATGAGGTTTTGGATAGAGGGTTTTCCCTAGAAGGGGTCTAGGATGGCCAAAGGTTGGGTTCTTGGAGTAATGCTAGGGTGCATTCAACAATTAGCAAGGGTGGTTTCAGCTTTGGGGATGAAGGCTTTTAGGTGAGAAGAAGAATAAGAAGGTGAGTTTAGACGGGATTTTAAAGAAAACTGAGGTCATTCAAACCCAACGTTGCTTTACTCCACTTTTGTGCTAGGTTGGGTGACATAGACTAGGTCTGGCGAACCCAACACTTGGTGCCCGCACATGCCACAAATTTACATGTACACTTCTAATGTTTAAGGCAACTAGAAATATAAAAGAGTTGGCTATAAACAAGCACAAGAAGAAATCATGATTGTAAAGTTAAGTTTGAGCAATGTGTTAGCAAAGTTGAACAAATTTAATCACATCCACTTCTTCGTTTTCATGTTTATTGGGTTCAAGGTAAACTTTTAAGCATTGTCCATTTACCTTAAATCCTTTGTTCCTTTGAAGTGTGATGGCTCCATGTGATGACTTGTTGACAACTTTGAATGACCATCCCACTTGCTTCTTACCTTTCCATGCATGAATAGCCTTATTCTTGAGTTGAATAGTAGTAACTTGTCACCTTACTTGAGTTCTTTCTTCTTGAGCCTTTTATTGGCCATCGTTTGATTCTTTCCTTGTAAATGTTGACACTATGGTATGCCTTCTCAGTCCATTCCTCAAGCTCAGACAATTGCATTCGTCTATTTCTCTTGGCTTGTTGAAAATTCATGTTCAACTTCTTGATTGGTCAATGAGCTCTAAATTCCAACTTGGTCGAGAGATGGTAGTAGGTCTTGCCATATATGAGTTGATAAGGTAACATCCCAATGCGTGTCTCATATGCGGCCCTATATATTCTTAAAGCGCACCAAGAAGCTTGTTCTTTCACACCTTCCCTATCTCTCCCATGGTATTTTGTAGAATGTTATTGATTTGTTTGTTCGAAGTTTTTGCTTGGCCACTTGTTTGGGCATGATAAGGTGTGGCGTATTAATGGTATTTTATCTTCTAGGACAAATTGGTTATAGCAAGGTGAAATGTTAAGGCATGAAGAAATATATAAAAAGACATAGAATTATGGACAAAGTGGAAGAGGCAAAAGCGACAAAATTTTGAAGGCCCGATATGTACATTGCGCATGATTAAAACCAATATGAAAAATATAAAGCTATGCATGTCCTTCCTCAGTCCCATAAAAAATATCATTCTTGTTAGATTTAACGTGGGTATGACCCATATTTTATTTAATAATTAAATCAAATAAATTTTAAGGTTATATTAGATGCTAGGTGCAATAAAATGGTGGACTGAATGTAGTTGATGGCTGAACTTGTAACAGTCATAGTTATGGCTATGGTTACTAGTAACTCCCATGGTTATAGTTGTAGTCACTAGTAATCCCCATATTTATGACAGAGGTTATAGGTAATTGATGGACGCTTCATGACATCTAGGTTCATCCTCTACACTTCACCTTCTACCTTCCATGCTTATAAAAAGGAGCGCTTACCTTCAGCTACGCGTACGAGATACAGCACAACCAGCACCATCGTTCTTCTGTTGAGTTGCTCCTGAGTTTCACCGTCCCAATCCTCTGCGCACACAGAGTGTTGGGAGAGCAGGCCTCCAGAACCGTCGTCTGTATAGCGACACCTGCTCGGGTGTGCAAGCGATCAGGTTTTTAGGGAGCGTCTCCGCGACTGCTCGCTTATTCCTGGTGACTACCGACGTCTTCTTTTTTCTCGGTTCGTCTACTTTCCGGTGGACGTTCGAGGGACTGCAATGCGAACATCGTCCTGCATTGACTATGGTCCGCGACATTAAGCAACGCACCATGTCAACTAGTGTGCGTGGAGCAACCGGTGCCTTGAGCATGGGTCCCTCCGCTGGGTATACTTCTAATCTTACTGTCTCTATGTTCAGTAAAGTTTTTGTGCTCTTAAACATGATCAGTATATTCATCATACTTGTCACTAGTAGTTCACACGTGCACATATTTGTTGTCACGAATTTACTGCTATTTTTCTAGATTAAATTAAACATGAAAATGTCTAATTTCCTAACAATTCTCGCTTCCGGAGAAGTCTAACGTTTTTAACTTTGACCAAATATATATAAGAAAATATTAATATTTATGGTATATAATTAGTATCATTATATGAATTGTTAAACATGTTTCTATAGTAAACTTATTTAAAGATATAAATATTGCTAATATTTTCTATAAATTTATTTTAAACTTAACCACGTTTGAAAGACTCTTCTTAGGACCGAGAGAATATATGCGTTGATGTGAAGGTCCTACCTTAGCACTTATCACGTGAGGACAGAGAATTAGCTATCAGGCACCGGGACCTGAATAGGGGGCATTTCCGGATACCGGAAGTTTCCTACGGACTTCACGCGTTTTACTAGTCATCACCCTGCCAACGCGAGCTCCAACAACCGGATAAGACTTTCGAGAGATGAACATGAAGGGGGTCACCTGCTCTCAGTCTCTCACAGCGTTGGCCTGTAGCTGATCTACAAACAAGCAGGCGGAAGACCTGCTGCTGCAAGTGCAGATCCAATTGAGCTACTCGATGAAGGTTGAGCTTTAATCTTTGCTCGACCTGCTGGTGTCTTTTCCAAGGTGCCATAATTTTTGCCTGCTCCGTGATCGATACTTACTTTTGTTACTGAATCTAATCACTCGTATTCACTTGTAATCCCACATGCTCGCAGTTCATAAGTCATCCTCAAACAACAATTGCATATATGGCATCGTCCAGCTGGGATAGGGTGGGGCAGGCGGCGAGCGTGATTCAGGTCACCGGCGTCGACGCGTTCGGCCTGGTGAACATGATCGTGCAGGCGGCGCACACCGCACGCCGCAACAGGGATCTGTGCCAGCAGCTGGCCCAGCACGTTCTGATCGTCGCCGATCTGCTCCGGAAGCTGGACATCCCGGCGCTCAGGCAGCACCTGGAGACGCGGAGGCCGCTGGAGCTGCTGGACGCCGCTCTTTTCCGTGCGTACAAGCTCGTCAGGTCCTGCGCCCAGCGACAAGAGAACACAAGCCAGATCTATCAGATGTTTACTGGCGCGGAGGTGGCCTCCAAGCTTCGGCTGGCGCAGGAGGAGATCGACCGCTACATCAACCTAATCCCCATGATCACCCTTGTTGCCGCCGTCGGCGCCCGGCAGGTATCTTCCCTCTTCAGTGCCTTCATACTTCATACGGAGTATATGTCAAGAATGTCTTAAGAAATTTCCTCCACTAACAGGCTACCAATGAGGTGCATGAGGATGGGAGCAATGATGCTGCCCCAACTCAAAGCAGGTTGCCTGAGTATGTAATTAAATTATTTTCAGTTTATTATCAGATTCCATAGATTATCATTGGAGTAATTTGGTGCTTCACTGTAAGAATTTGCAGGAATCGGTTATCTCTTCAACACGTTACCCAATCACTCACACTCGAGGAACTGCAACCACAAGGTCCGGTTGACTTAATTATATATGTGCATTTCTTATTTGCAACCATGCTTAACTAGGAACTGTGCTCCCAATTATTTTTTTTCTACATGAGTCCATCAACCTGTGCTCCTACACACAGCTACAATAATAAAAGACAAGACCAACAGCTAATAAAAAATAGTTATCTTTGTGCTCTTCTTATGTTTATTTATTTTCAAACACAATATGCATGCATTTACTCATTAATTTCTATCCGGTAATGGTAAACTAATCAATTACTATGTATTGACGCTTAATTAGGTCACCACACCGGTATGGAGCTAGATCGCTCGATGTAGGGCCTATCCGACTTGTTGGATGGCGCCTAGGTAGGTCCACACTCAGACCTAGTGCCTCCAGTGATGAGAGCGATACGCAAGACAGTCGTGGGAGGAGCAATAGAAGCTATTATGACTTTAGAAGCTCGTTTAAAACTTACATCTTATAAAGTTAGTTTTTCCATGAGCTTTGAATTTTACTTTTCTAACACAACAGGCATATGCATACATTGTAATATCAATCCAGTTGTGACAAACTTATCAAAGATTATCCTGGTCAAAAATATTTATCACACTCGGCTATGCACAATTTTTTAATTTATGCACATAGTTGACAAGTATTATCTTCTAAAAATGTATTATTAAAATCCTTCACAATAATGAGATTTTGCAAGTGTTTTCCAATACAAACCTACACATATATCTTACATGTTTCCAAACTGAATAATTTAGAAGCTATTGCTGTTTGTAAGTTTTAAGGTTTGACCAAATCTTTCCCTAAGCGACATGATTTTGTTAGCAGACAGAGTACTTTGTATTTGCATCAATCAATATCCATAGTTTTTCTCCCTCTACATGGCGCCTTCACCTGTCTTTAATATGTATTTAGTTGAAGACTTGGCTTAAATTATAGTGTTTCTTGTTGCATCCCATGTCTTACGATATTATAAATCTGGGTTTTGAATTTCAGTTTTTTTTTAATCTTATTAGTTGCTGCAATTTTCTATTCTCAAGTTAAATGAAACTCTTGTTCTTATTTTTACCTTTATTCAAAAAATTGCTTTGTATTTTATTAAAAATAAAGATTTTAGGTTGTAGACTATACTCTTAATTACTATGATGGCGTACACATTAATTTTGGTACTAGGCCATAGTGCTCAAGGTAAGCAATAGAGCTTGAAATAAGATCTAAGAGGGACCAACAATACTAACCTGAAGAGAATAATTAAGACTAATAATCAGTGTTTATCCTAGAAATATCAAAGATTATGGAGGTCACAGATACCTTTTGTCACTGTGTTGATGCAAATGATGTTTAGTGTTTAAATGTACAGTTTATGGGATGTTTTAGTTTATCTTTAGTGGTAACAGATGTGATAATTTGGATGCAAATTTAAGGGATGCTTTAGTTTATCTTTAGTGGTAACAGATGTGATAATTTGGATGCAAATTTAAGGGGTTATAATTAGATTATCTATCATAATGGCATGATGATTGATGCAAAGTTAGGATCACTTTAGATTATATTTCATAATGGCATAATAGAATATGTTGGTAACTTAAATGTGGATTTAGATGGTTACTTTATATTATTTTTCATAATGGCAAAGATAGTTATATTTTTGGAAAACATAATATATCTAATGGCTTATCAAAGGTGATTATAATCTACCTTGATGGCCCGATGTGTATGGTTTTTGTGGAAATCTCTAGGTTCTATCATTTTTTTGTAGCGCATCTCATGTAGATTAACATGGAGAGTTTGTTGGAGACACTTAATTAACAATATCAAGATAAGGTCACATAATTTCTGCTAATGTTTTTAAACATCGCCATAGCACATCGATATGGTTAACACACTTTTATTAGGAAAATAAAATATGAGTGGCTCAAATCATGGGATTTCAATTCCTAGTTACCAACAGCATTCCAACAAACTGAATAAACTTGCATCTGAATTATTGAACCCACTCTGACCCCAGTAAGTGGACGTAAACAAAGACATTTTGTCCAAGTGCCATTCTGTCAGGTTTAAGAAGTCGAAATGCACTAAAATTCCATTTTATGGCCAAAACTTCGGAAGGTATATATAAATATATTATTGCATTACTACCACCTTTTCTTTGAAGAGACAATAAAAGGTGGCATGGTACCTTTCGGTGTGTAAAAAAAGAGTTGCCATATTTTAGGCAACCATCTTAGACAACCAACTGATAATATAATTAAAAGGGTAATTTATATTTTTTGTATAGTTAAATAATGACAAAATTATATGTTGTCTGAATAACAATAAAAAATCAGGTACCTGAAATATATGAGAAATGAATAAAAAAATGCTTCTTTTTGTTAGCTGTATACAAAGTGTATTGGTTTATGTAGTTCACATAACATGATTTTCAGTCAACAAGATCCCAAATATAAGCTAGTTAGGACATCGACACTCTATGAGAATATATTATCCTTGTTCGTTGCAGCTAAAAAGCTCTGCTGTTGCTGCCATAAGCCGCTGCTAGTACAGTGTTTGCCGGGAGAGCTGCAGCAGCTAACACAGCTGTGCCAAACAAAAATAGTTAGATATAGTAGCATCAAACTCATGTTTTTATCAATAATATGAATATTTAGGTTCCTCAGTCGACATGGAAGCCAGAAGAAATGGTAGAGAAGCCAGAAGAAACGCTTGGCAAGTGGTCACACAGAATGTATACAACGGCATGTTTCATCAGATGGGTAGGTATCTTACCTACGGAGGTACCCACAAAAGTACAGGTGAGCATCAGTTGCATGTTTCATTAGTACTATCCCCTTTCATATTTGACCAATTCCTCGCTTTTTTTTCTCTGCAAGGATCGGTTTTGTTCTCCATTTGTTTCGTAAATAAAAATGATTTTTCCATACTCTGCACACGTGAAAAATGGTAGGAAAATTTTAAAAAGATAGAAAGCTATATATATAATACTCCATCCCAAAATAAGTGATGTTCTATGTTTGTCCTAAGTCAAACAATTTCAGGTTTGACCAAATTTAAAAGAAAGAACATCAATATTTATGACACCAAATAGGTAGAGTATGAAAATATATTTCATGATAACTAATGAACACATCACCATTTAACTTAGTTGACATCCTACTTAATGATCATATAAACCATGCTCATTTCTGAGTTGGGATTATACGAAGTTGCTATTGGCTAAAATGAGCTAAAATTAAAGGCCAGATTGTATGCTTTTCTGCAGCTTTTTCTTATTGTACTTTTTTCCATATACGTAAAACGTAAAAGCTAGGTCATGCTAGTTTATCCTGACCATTTTTTCTCTATTTGTACATCTTTTTTTAAGAGAAGCGCTTACCATATATAAAAGCTTTACCAAAGAGGGCTGTAACAAGTCCATTCAGCTAAAAAGGCTGTTTTGAAATCGTACTGTCATAAGAATCCATTTAAATTGACCCTCCCTGTTGCTCAGAAAAGAAAAATTATATTTGAGAAACTGAAGGATAAAACCTATTTTGTAAGACTTTTTTTATCAAAATATATATGTTTATCTATCGTTGCGGAATAAAGGGAGTATAAATTAAAAGGGAAGTGAAACAGAATGTCCTTCTCGTCAGAAAATAAAAACATCTCTTTTCCCTTTCAGTAAAATGGTTTGCAAATTTTGTTTCCCTAGATTCCTAGCATAGATATGTTTTTGTTCAACGTGATGTCAACAACAACAGTATTTATTGCGAGCTGCGAACCCATGCAGGGACTCTTGTTATACCCGGAGCGCCTCCGATGTTCAGTTACAAGGAACTGTGTGAGGCGACACGTGGATTCTCTAAAGTTAAGAAGCCCGGTGGGTATTTCTACCGAGGGTTCTTGCACGATCGGGGGCTCCAGGTGGCCATCAAAAAGATCTTCATTCCTTCATCCATGGGGGAGGAGAGAATGAAAATAATCGCGGAGCAACTACGCATCCGCAGCCAGTTGAGGCATCGCAGCATTGTCCAGTTGATTGGGTGGTGTCACGAAGCCGACAACGAGCTCTTGCTTGTCTATGAGTTGTTGACGAACGGCAGCCTCCAGGACTCTCTCTCTCTCTCTAGTTCAGGATCCATCCTAAACATGGCCAATTAGGTAATTAATTAAGGACTCTTCTTAACACAGCTCTATATATATCACAGAGAACACATCATGTGTTTTTGACCTCGCCAAATAAACTTACTGCAGGTATAGGATTATTCATGACATATGCGACGCCTTGCTCTACATGCAAAAGGAATGTAGTCCTGTTGTCATCCACGGGAACATTAGGCCTAGCAACGTTATGCTTGACCCGTCTTTCAATCTTTCAATGCGAGGCTGGGGGACTTTGGGTGTACACCCATCATCGGCCACAAATTCACAAGAATACTGGGAACCACCAGGTACGTCACTACTGGAATCGACGTCTACAGCTTTGGGGTCCTCATCCTTGAGATCGCCAGCGGTCGGGGAGGACGACGGTGATAGCTCCTTCCATCTTGTGCGGTGGGTCTGGGAGCTGTACGGCCAGGGCGCCCTCCTTGACGCAGCGGATCCAGGCCTCCATGGCGAGTTCGACGCAGATCAGATGGAGCGCGCGTTGATTGTGGGCCTGTGGTGCGTGAACAAAGACTACCCCGACCAGCTATCCGTGCAGCAAGCGCAAGGTAATAAATACGGTAGTAGCGGACACAATTGCGGTAGCGTCCATTGCCGTTACCGCTATGAGGTAGCGGAACTTTGCAGCCTGAAATTTTGCGGCCGCAATTTTAAATAGCAAGTGATATTGCGAGTCAGGCCACAGTAGCGTGAAAGCAAATAATATGTTTCTTTACAAACTTTTAATGTGATGATTTAATGCGTGGAACATCATGTTTGTTTTATTAATTTAAATATGTGATACATCAATTCTTTCAGTGCAATTAAATGTCTATTTATACTCACTATTTATGATATATGTATTTAAAATTATATGAGATTATCAAGTGCCGTTATTGGAACTTATCATCCACAATATCGTCCGCTATCCGCAATCCGCTACCTCAACGTCAATCCGCTACCAACCCGTTATACGCTATTCAAGCGATGACTCCGTTATACGCTATTTAATACCTTGATCAAGCGATGACTGCGCTCTGCCACCTCGAATATCCACCGCCGCAGCTAGAGCTACCCTCGGAGATAGCCGCAGGACGAGAGCTAACCACTACATCAGACTCAATGATGAGAGTGTACAATGAAGGTGCTTGAAGAAAAAAAAAACTGATTTTCGTTCAACCTGTCTTGACGTGCTTTCAACTTAGTCTTCGAATAAGCTCATAGAGGTAGGGTTTACGTGCGTGCGTTTATAGATGTGAGTGTGTTGTGAGATTCTATATTGTACTATGGTCCCGTTCGCTTCGCTGAAAAAACAAGTCGAAACACTATTCCGGCTGATTTATTGTGAGAAAAATATTGTTCTGACTGAAAAAAAACTGAAAAAGATGGATTATAATAGAAACGAACAAGGCCTATGTAATTCTCAAAAAAAATTGAATGAAAACTCCGTGGTGTGTATCCATCAAAATGGATTATGCCTTCTACAGGACAGGTTATACACATTTTTAGGAGCGCAGTCATTCCTAATGCTTACATTTCGGCACCTGATGAAAGAAACCACCAGACTAGAAAATTGAACAAAGGCAGCAAAACCAAATGGAAAATATATATAATTGCAACCCTCCGTTATGGGGTCAATATGATATGTATCCTCGGATTTATTTAGGTTTATGCTTGTTAAATCTATGCTTTATCTATAACTAAGTTATACATGATTCAATGAGTATGAAATTTTTACTATAGTTCAAACATACAATAATTAGCTCCACCATAAAAATTTCACCACAATTGGACCATAGAAATTGCAGCTATAAATTATTCCAATTAAATACAGAAAAGCATAGAACTAAAGCTACAGCAAAAACTTTATATTAAAGCATATCATATTATATGTTCATTGTATAGATTTACTCATGTGGAGTCCAACAAAATTGGATTTTCTATTTTATAATTTTCTGTAATTTACTATGATTTTTCAAAGATTCAGCGAAAATAAATAAAAAGAAATAGACAAAACCACCGTCATGTGTAGAAAAACTACCGTCCAAAACCGCTGGGGGTTATTTGATAGGTTTTGAAAAGGGATAGAAAATCCGGTTTTATAGTTTGGAGGATGAAGTAGTCCATACGGAATAGTTGGGGTTATATAGATTTTTTCCTTAAATGTAATATAGTACAACAACGAGTTTTCTTCTTGAAGTCATATGGCAATGATTTTTTCTTGTACAAGGCATATGGTGTTGTAAAGTTTTTTTTTTCTACAAGGTTATGTGACGGTGATTTTTTTCCTCCGTTATTTGAAGGATTTTTCGAATGTCTGGAGGTGGATTTTGGATAATCATGGTGACTAGGTGGACCCGCACCTATCTTTGGATGACCTCAGTATCCCACAAGCATAGAAGACACAGACATCTGAGGTCCATCCTACTTATGTGCAGGTACTGCATTTTCTTCAAACCGCAGCTTATCAGAAAATCGTGATCAGATTGAAATCAGTACACAAGACAGGTGGTTTCAAACAGGGCCTACACATAAACCTTCCATTCAAGGAACACAATTAAGTTCTGTAAGGCATGCATGCTGTGTGTGATACTGATATAAAGACAGAACAACGAAATAACAAATAACAACTTCATATCTACATTGTATGATTGTGTGTGCGCAAGTACGTTGCAAACCCTACACTTTACATATTTGGTATAAAAGTACACATGTACATGTCGCTTCCACTTTGATTCTTTATCTTACATTTCGTCACGCTTGGATTCCTCCTATCATCCTATGGCTGGCAGTGAAGATCTGGAATTGCCGTCATAGATCCAATGGAGGTGCGTCCTGGTTCATTGCCATGATCTTTCAGAACTTTCACAAATCATGTTAAAGATTCATTTGGTTAACATAAACAATACGTCAGGTTGATTAATTCAAATATGAGCACGAAATAATCCACATATGGGGTTCATTCACGTACATAGCACGAAGTAATCTACACTGTATTTTAAAGCAACATTATGTACAAATGAAGCTATACCAAGCAAAACAGGGCAACCTCAACTGACTATTCGAGTATAATTTTTTAAGCATATAAGTCGACATTTCTTGTGACGAACTTCATCATAGCGTAAAGCTTCGAGCAAGTTCAATTCATCAACTATATAGTATACAGAACAAAAAAGAAGATAATTTTGAGATTATTCAGGACAATGGAGAAAACTCACCTTGTGCAAAAGATCATGGGCAATGTAGTCCCAAGGAAGAGACACAGACATCAAGCAGCACTTCAGAGGCACAAGCTCATTGTACATTTGTTTATTAGCAGATGCAGACTCATAAGCATGCTTTGCTAGCTTTGATGCAGCAGAAGCTGCTTTGTGAACAAGGACCCGAAAGCTATCTCCTGGATCTTTCTTTGACTTCTCACGGCTCTGGTCTAATAACAAAAGTAAGAACATCCAAATGAGAATGTGTTGTGTGTTGACAAGCTGCATTACAAGCAATTGAAAGCTACAACTTTGCATGTGGATTTGAGTGAGCTACGTTGCAGGAGGATAGTGGGTCATTAACAATCTGCTACACAGTTTTGCATGAGGATAGTGGGTCATTAACAATCTGCTACACAGTTTTGCATGTTGAACTATCAGTCATCATTTCAAAATGGAAACCACTAATTTGATATGTAATTTAGTGTGCTACAATACTACAATAGACTGAATAGTAACATGTGCATATGTAGTTTACATGTCGGGAAGGCGGAAACACATCATATTTTTCTTAGTTGAGAGTACCCTGCACTTTCTTATAACAAACTAATACAATAACAACAAAAGTTAACAACAGGTACTTTAAAGGCATATGAAATAGTGAAATCTAGTCTACAGACTGAAAGGAAGAAGTATTCCCATGCTAAACATAACGGACCTGCAATGCTAGAGACAGCTACTTCCACCTCTCCACGTCCCTCTGGGCCCCTCATAAAAAGTCTGTCAAGCTTATTGTGGTCATGCCCAAGTGAGAAGAAGCTCCCAAATTTTGATCTGCCAGCTATCGCAAAAGAGGAATACACATAAGAATATGTCATGTTAATACTTCTGGAATACATTTACACTACGGTTTACACAAATCATCAATTTTAAGTAGGTAAAAATAAAAAATGGCATTATGTGGGAGAAGAGTTCGTCCACTAAAAAATAGCATAACATATTTTTCTTGCCACTGGTGCTTAAGCACCAATCGGTAGGTAGATGTGAACTCAAATACTAAATATCACAATGAAAGTAACATTGTTTGTCCTATAAACAAAGTAGATAGATGAAGCGCTCACCATCATAAGCCTCACGGACGTTTTGGTAGCTCACATAACCTGAGAAGAGAGTTCTCTGCAATGACAATCAAAGATCTTGCTGAATTATACAGTACAAATGGCACCCGGATGCTATGCACAAATTTGGAGTGACTTAATCTATGTACAGTGCCAATGGGACAGTAGAAGAAACAGGACCATTTACTTGATTATTTCCTATGATTCTTTGTAGGTATGGATGTTTCAGAAGAGCTCATAAACTTTCTTCCATAAATTTAGTACAGGCAATCACACATGGCCTCTGCCTCTCTGTGAAATATGAAACAAGCTGAAAACCAATTGAGCTCATCCTTTCATTGAGAAACCAATCAAATTATTTAGGAAATAGATATATTGGTTGGAAAAAAGATAGATTCCTAATCCTGTTCTACAAACAAGTTAAACCAAAAAATTGAATAGTTGATGTCACCAACATCTAGACATGATAAACAGAAACCTTCATTGCTCTGAATTACGAGAAAAACCTTTGGTGGTTTTTCTTGGGCAGTCCCACAGCTAACTCCAGGCTGTATATTTGAAACAGGACTCTTGGACTCGGTTTCTTCAGGAAATGCTGCCCCATCATGTGCGTTGAGAATCACACAATAGCAGTGTTCAGGATCTGACAAAACCTGCTTAATTTAGAAGAACACAGTGCTCAACAGGGTCAACTTTAGGAACTACAAACATGGTGAAAAACAGCAAAAGGAAATCATGCACCATCAGACAATGGGCATTTACAATTACAACATTCATGCTACCTGGACACTATGTTGTACAACTACAAATTTGATATAATTGCACAGAACCTTACCACAGCATCAAAAGTATCATCAAAGTCGTCTACTGAGAAAAAGATGTTGGGATATGCAGGTACTGTTTCTACAGCCTGTCCACATATGCATGAGCTCCTATTAGGACTTAAAAGACTACGTCTTTCAAAGTATGGTGCAAAATTCAACACTACCTTCCTTCGGTCAAGATGAAAATTTACACGGCTAGGGGACGCGTACACAGTTTTTGTAACCTATTTCAATGAGAATGAGACAAGGTTAGTTAATACAAACATAAAAGCCTCTCAACACCTCTGATGCAACATCAATACTAAACGTCAGCCGTACAAGTGGGGCATCTTCCCTATATGACGCTTCTGATTCTTTCCTTTTCATGCAGAATATACAGGAAACATGCAGTCGAAGGGCTATAAGAAATGGAGAGGGTATAATGGAATTAAATTTTGAGGGAGTACTCTGCAACAACCATCTACTGTAGAGCTTGCTATCATACAGGAGCATATTTCAAGTACAGAAATTAGTGTGTGTTTTCTTAATTCTATGTAATTAGGATTAACGATTGATATTAATTTAACTGCTATGTCTAGTTCACATATATACTGTAACTTGGAGAAGTAAATCAAACTATTTGCAGGCATCTCTTAAAGAATTAAATTTGGTATCCTTCAGTCATTGCAAAGTTGAAATCAAATGATTTTTCAAATGTATTAGTAAAAAACTGAAGATATGCAGTTTCAAACAAAGCAGAAGGGAACAACTTTAGTTTTAGTCTGTGCTCATCTAGAAAAGAATCACTGCTGACTAAATGAAAATGCTTATTGTTACTGTACCTTATAAACTGGACACGACTGTTTGCTTTTCGCTGCACGGTTGTGAAGATCTCCAATGCTGTGGAAGTAGCTCGTAAGAACCAACATACGAACAAGTGACTATACAGTATCCACAAACAATAAGGATAAAAATCATATCACAACTGATTCTAATTTTCTGTGACAACGATCGCTACAAGAATCTAGGATTTTCATGTCCTTTAGCATGCCAGAACAAACTCATGAAGAAAAGTAATTTTGATCGTCCTAATTGCTCAGTAAGCTAATCATTTATGCCAGGGGTCCAATCCTCAACCTTTTACCCTAACATGTGTCAAAAGAATTATCATGTGCAACTGTGCAAATTTCAAAAAGAGGATGAGAAATCAAGACACAAGAGGATGGACAGCTGTACATGGTTGTCATATCAGAACTGCTACATTACATTTTAAGTGAGAGAAATTACTTTCATAGTTTTTAAGGCGTCGCCTAGTCGTCGCGGTCCAGGCGATTTTCAAACCTGGGCGTCGGGGTCACCATGACCTTGAGGGATATGGCGTCCGCAGTCGTCGCCTAGGCGCGATTTGGCGTCCCTTTTGCGCTGGGCAGGCGTCGCAGGCGCGGAATCTTGGATGGCGCAGCGCAGGAGCAGCGCGCAGGCGGGAAAAGGAGCAGGGTTTCAGCGCGCGGGAAGTCAAGGGGAGTTCCTCGCGCAGGGAAATCGCGAGCCTACACCCCCTGCGGGGCCATGACCCCAGGCCAGCACGTCAATTGAGAGAGGGGAAAGGGCGAGGGTGGTAGGGAAAGAGGGAAGAGGGAAGAGGGTGGCCGGCGCAGCACCTGGAATACACGGTGGTGGCGCGCTGCCTCTGTCCAGCTGCTCCTGCTCCATCGATTTGCGCTTCCTCTGCCGCCGCCACCGATTCACCCCACCGATTCGTTCCTCCTTCCGGTTCTCCATCGATTTGCGGCTCCGATTGGTGCTTCCATACGGTTCTCTGTCGATTCGTGCCTTCAATTGATTCTTCCTCCCTCCGCTCCATCGATTTGTGTCCCCGTCTAGCCCGTCATCGCAGGCTCGCGGCACACAGGTAACTCTTCCGCTCTCGCTCTCCACTGTAGGCCTCTGCTCTTCTCCTTGGATATGCTCTGCCTTTAGGATTGCTGGTACATGGGCTCTAGGATTGACAGCAACAAGGTATGTTTGTGCTGCTCCATAGTAGGTTATAGTATGTGTATGGCGTCGCCTCGCCACGCGCCTTACTCGCCTAGGCGTCTGGAAGGGGGTGGGTCGCCACGCCTCGCCTTACCGCCTTAAAAACTATGATTACTTTATTAAATCATTATGAAGGTTGTCTTTGTTCATACATAGAATTGTATGCAAATTATTCAGGATAACTACTAAGCATGCAGTTTTTTACTGAGCTGTTGCAGAAACATACCCAAATATTGCAACAGTGACAGTGTATGACGTGTGAGCGATTAAATTCAAATAGAAGGAACGCTCCCAATCAATCTCCACTGTATTAATACTGATCTTTTCAAGCTGCTTCACATAAAAAAGATGATGTTAACTACCACATCAACTCAAAAAGAGCATGACTTATTATCAGAGGTTTCCCACCTAACAATATATTAAACAAATGTAATAGGCGCAATGGCTAGGATATCTGACGAACATGAAATTACAATACTGCATGTATATGCATGTAAGTTAGAAGACATTCACACAGGTAGGAATCCTCAATTAGTTAAGGAAAAAAAATATAAGGACATTCATGCCATAAGTCCACTTTTCAGTGCAAATTTTTAACTTGAATGGATAATTGTACACATTTATCATTCAGCGCTAGTTATTGTGTTAGTGAAACAAAAGAAAATAAAAACAGCATTACTCAAGTAAACTTAAAAACTAACTAGGATGAAGGATATGCACTGAAACTTTCAGTCAGGGAAAACACATTCAGAGGAACACCGAGGCACACCTTTTCATAGTACCCAATAAATGAACTCACGTACAAATACCACTAAAAAAACAAATGAAGAGCAAGAAAGATGTAATATTTTCTTGAATCTATTGCAACGAAGTCATAAGCATTAGGTCTCAGGTGATCTGAAGTAAAGTAGACCAGGTATTTCTTCATTTACCGTGGGAGCCCATCTCCGTACAAAAAAAGGAGGCGGATCTTCCATGTTATCATTAAAACCATAACCATGCAATTTCTGCATCAACACCAAGTAATATCAAGATAAGAATAGTAGTGGATTTTCAAAGAACATTGACCTATTAAGCAAGAATAAGGACTAAATCAGCAGGAACCATAATGAGTACCTACCATGTTATTAACAAAGAAGACGAGATCATCCTCTTCACTTCTTTTTGATTGCCTGCCACGCACAAAGAATAGATCAAGCATTTCATGCCAGAATTTATCATCCATTCCCACATCTGATGCATCATCCTCAGCATCAACAATTGTCCACCCAATCAAATGCGAGTGCTTCTTCACCATGGTCAACAACTCGGTCCTGAAAAAAGAGCATGAAGAAGAGAGAAAATTGCTTAAACAACTTTTCTTGTTTATCATAGGGTAGCTTGCTAAACCTGCTCCATAATTCAAGAGAATGAAAAATTTATAAACAGAGCATGAACCTAAGCAATTACTCAAGCTGGATAAATGACTTAGATGACAGCACAGACTTATAGAACAGACTAACTTGTGCATGTCACAATAGGTGCGCAGAAGTACATGGGACACATAGGTTATTTTGATTTCCATCTTCATATAGCCAAATAGATTTACTAGGGATAATGATACATGGTAATTCCAGAATTTGGGGCCAAAAGTATATGCATTCATGTTGGGTTGGAGTAGAGAGGGGGACCCACCGGCCACCACAGAGTGCATAGACAGGTAATCCCTAGTAATTACGAACCCACTGTAGTATAAAGTCGAAAAAAAAATGAAACAGCAGCAGCAGCAGCAGCTGAAGTCAATCATCATAGGCGTGAAATTAGCAAGCTTAGTTGTTCATGTTTGCTTTGTATGGGGCCATTAATTCCATGGAATGGCTGCTCCTATTCAGCCCTCAGAACCAGGTTTGATGAGATATCGCAACTATGTAGCACAAGCAAGGAACGATTCGGATCATAGGCTAAAAATAACCCATCTCCACAGACCGCAGTACAATGCTTGTGATAGGCTAATTTCGGTTTCCGCAATTCCGCTCCCTCGGTGCATCTCTCTCTTCCCGCAGCCGTGGCGTGGAGACTGGAGTGCCCCATCCACTTATCCCCATCCTGATTATCGAAGAGGAAGGAAGACCATAAAGGAGGGGTTCACATCGCGCACATACCTTGAGGGCGATGATGATGCATCCATGGTGCCACTGAATCTGTGGACGGCGACCTCGCTGGATGGGGAGGGGGACGAAGGAGAAGGCGGCGCGGCCATGGCGATGGGATTGGGGAATCCAACCGATTCCGAGGGCACGCGCGTTGGAAGCAAAGCAGGCAACCGCACTCGCCCGCACGCCTCCTCGCTCTGCTCTGCTCTCCGGGATCCCCTGCTCTCCGGCACGGCACGGCACGGCACGGCGTACATACGTGGCTTGAAACTGAGGTTGGCCAGGCTGCAAAAGCTGTGGGAAGAAAGTCCGATCTCACGAAGAATCCAGCCCAGCCGGCCCAGTAGGCTGGCACTAGCGTCAATAAGGCCTGTTGGATTGCATAGGCCGAGAGAGCCTAGCCCAATAACTGCATCTTGGGCCAAACGTTAAAAGTTGTCCATGAATAAATCTCTTTTCAATGTTCCGTTTCTAATTTGCAAAAAAAGAGAGAGAACCATACCAGGACACAAGTGATGGGCTAGCGCCCGGACGTCCGCCCGCAGGATGCGTCCTCCGGTGCCCCACATCCCATCCAATGTCAGCACCTGCGTCCGGACCCCCACCCCAACGCACCAGCACCGGTACCCTCGACGACCCCCACCCCAACGCGCCGCGGGGATGACTAACGCCGGCACCAGAAGCCATGCGGAGCAGACCACGGCAGAACCGCTGGGGAAGAGGAGGACGGTCCATCACTAAGTTGCTCGCTTCTCGCTGGCGGCGCTGGAGGCAGAGGAGACATCAAGGCGAGGCAGCAGAAGGCGAGGAGGGAGATGCAATCCCAATCTACTTTTGAAACACTCAGACGCAAAACACTTACAACAAACATCTTAAGACCAATTAAAAACTTGAAACATTTGCAAAACACTTGTAAACACTTGAAACCATTGTAAATATACGCAACATCCAGATAAACACACTTGCAACATTTGTGTGGAACATATGCAACATCTAGATAAACACACTTGCAACATATGTCTGAAAAAACAGATGAAACATTAGAAACAAAAGCTTGCAACATACGTGTACAACCATTGCAACATATGCAACATCCCGATCTACTTTTGCAACATCAATATAAAACACTTGCAATGTACATATGAAACATCTGAAAACGCGCGTTTTGCAACATGCAGGAGGCTCGAGTCGGTCGGTTCCAACCGTTAGGGTCGGAGCCGATGGCGAGCGGTGGCACGCGAGCACCGCCACCACTAGCACCCCGGCTTAGCTCGGCTAGGCGGGCGGCGCACGCGACGGCGCGGAGCGAGCACCACTAGCATCGTCGCCACCAGCACCGGCCTCGGCTCGTCTCGACGGACGGCGGGGCCGAGTGGACGGCACGCGCGATGGGAGGGAGCGGGCAGCACATGTGACGGGAGGGAGCGGGTGGCACACATGACGGGCGAGCGAGCAAGCGCGCGGTAGCAATGAGGCGGGGTGGCGCGCGGCATCCGGATGGGACGAACGCCGGCATCCTATCATTATCATTCTTGAAAATACAAAATTCCATAACCGCATGAATGATAGCATCATTGTTTATATACATATATTTGAAATTGTTCAAAGTTGAACCTCAGACCAAAGGGACTACACGTCTACACTATAAATATACTTGCATTGATGTTATGGTTACAAATGAACCGTGAAATATGTGCAACATGAGAAAAACAATTCAACTAAGGGTGTGTTTGGTCCGAGGACGAAGTTGGATGGGATATGGTGATCCATGGATATTGGGACAAGGATATTCATGATGTATGTTTGGTTGGATGGATATGACGAGCCATTTTTCGATTTGGTTAGATGGATAAAAGTGGATGGGATTAGAATAGTTGTCTAACTATATCTATTATTTAAAAATAATAACAACTAATTAGACACTAATAAATATGCACTAATACTAATTTTGCCATGAAACCACTAATTTAAAATAAATATGTTAATTAGCACAACTAATAACCTAATTAGCACACGAAACATGCACTAATCAACGTATTAGCACTTATCAAACTAATCCTACCATCATAATTACTAAGTAATAATATAACATATTAATCATCTTTAATTTGTTTACTAATGACAAAGATTAGAAGACATAAATAAGCTAGTTCGTGAGTTTCTTATGAACCAGGAAATTCAGCATGTGGGGTATATTCCCTGTTGAAAGGTCCTAATGGCTAGAGGGGGGTGAATAGCCTAAAAAAATTCAACAACAACACTAAACAAAATGTGTTAGACAATTTTGCGGCGAAGCGAGTGTTGCGCTAGCCTACTAAAATGCAAGCCACCTTCCACAATTCTATTTCGAATAGTGTATGTCCACACAATAGCTATGACACTTAGCTAAATTAGTGTGCTCTCAAAGACTAACTAAAGAGCAACACTAATCAAACAAACAAGCTCTCACAACTAGCTACACTAAAGAGCTTGATAACTAGTTTGCGGTAATGTAAGAGTGAGCAAGAGAGTTATACCGCCGTGTAGTGGAAGGAACCAATCAATCACAATAATGAATACCAATGTAGACCAATCACCTCGGAATCAAATGATGAACACAATGATTTTTACCGAGGTTCACTTGCTTGCCGGCAAGCTAGTCCTCGTTGTGGCGATTCACTCACTTGGAGGTTCACGCGCTGATTGGCATCACTCGCCAAACCCTCAATAGGGTGCCGCACAACCAACACAAGATGAGGATCACACAAGCCACAAGCAATTTACTAGAGTACCTTTTGGCGCTCCACCGGGGAAAGGTCAAGAACCCCTCACAATCACCACGATCGGAGTGGAGACAATCACCTCCTCCACTCAACGATCCTTGCTTTGCTCCAAGCCGTCTAGGTGGTGGCAACCACCAAGAGTAACAAGCTTAAATCCGCAATGAAACACAATCACCAAGTGCCTCTAGATGCAATCACTTAAGCAATGCACTTGGATTCACTCCCAATCTCACTATGATGATGAATCAATAATGTAGATGAGTGGGAGGGCTTTGGCTAAGCTCACAAGTATGCTATGTCAGTAGAAATGGCCAAAGATCCGAGCTTGAGCCGACCATGGGGCTATAAATAGAGCCCCAGTGAAATAGAGCCGTTGTACCCCTTCACTGGGCACAACGCGGGGTGACCGGATGCTGGCCCTCAGCGTCCGGTCACGTGATTCACGCCACGTGTCCCCCGCTTCAAATGTTGTTTCGTCGATTTCAACGGTCATGAAGTCGACCGGACGCTCGAGAATCCGACGGGAGACTGAAGCCCCAGCGTCCGGTCATTTCTAGTAAGCTCCCCGAGGCATGTTTTTTTCGACAAGACGCGTCCGGTCCACTTTGATCGGACGGCCCGGCGTCCGGTGCTCAACCCTAGCCATCAGTGTCGTGTTCGGCATTTCGACCGGACGTAGCCTTTTCAGTCGTCCGGTCATTTGAGTGACCCAAGCGTCCGATCGAAGAGACCGACGCCAAAGATCATTTCGATCAACTCTATTTCAACTCTTACTTCTTCACCCTTGCTCAAGAGTGCCAACCACCAAGAATTTTGCATCCGCGTAATAGAAAATAGACATTTCATTTTCCCGAAAGCACCGAATCCCGCCGAAGCTATGAGGCGGGAGGGAGAGAGGACCCAAACCCATCTCAACCCTACAAACACCTTGTGCACATGTGGTAGCATATTTACACAAATATTATCAAGGGTGTTAGCACTCCACTAGATCCTAAATGCATATGCAATGAGTTAGAGCATCTAGTGGCACTTTGATAACCGCATTCCGATACGAGTTTCACCCCTCTTAATAGTACGGCTATCAAACCTAAATGTGATCACACTCTCTAAGTGTCTTGATCACCAAAATAAAATAGCTCCTACAAGTTATACATTTGCCTTGAGCTTTTTGTTTTTCTCTTTCTTCTCTTCAAGTTTGAGCCCTTGATCATCTCCATGCTATCACCATTGTCATGTTATGATCTTCATTTGCTTCTCTACTTGAAGTGTGCTACCTATCTCATGATCACTTGATGAACTAGGTTAGCACTTAGGGTTTCATTAATTTACCAAAACCAAACTAGAGCTTTCAATCTCCCCCTTTTTGGTAATTGATGACAACCCTTATACAAAGATAGGAATTGAAATTCAATTGAATCCATGTTGCTTGTCCAAACATATTTACCATGTGTAAAAAGATATGGACAAGTTTCATAAACCCTAAGTGATAGCAATTGCTCCCCCTACATATGTGCTAAGAGTTTGGATTGAAGCTTGCACATATGCTTAGATAGTAAATGTAGGAGTCAATGTCTACCATATGATGCTAAGGTATAAAAGATTGACCTTTGAAGCATTATACCAATCGGAGTGCACCAATATACCATCCTTAGCACCATGGTTAGCTCAATACCACTTAGAAATATTTGGAAGTGAAATCACTAGATATCCTATGCATGCTAGTTTGCATTTCATCATTCAAATCTACAACTAGCATACATCACACAAGCATGGATATTATAAATATGGAACTTATACCATGCAAGCAAACATATGAAATGCACGTTCAAATGCACCATACAAGTTCGTGAGCTTGCTCCCCCTACTTGTGTGCTCAAAATTTTAGTTGATCCCTTTCCTTTGTTATATCTCTCCCCCTTATCCCCTTTTTCTTTGTTTCTCTCCCCCTTTGTCATCAATTACCACAAAGGTTTAAATTATAGATAGGTTGGGATTATCAATGTCAATCAATGGGGTGAGGATCATTTTCAAAATTTGGTTCAAACTAGAATATTTGTCAAAGATATTCAACTCGGTTTGATCCAAGGACAAGCTTCTTCACACCTCCAAATAAGGGTTATCTTGTACCATGTTGAGTTAAACACTTATAGTTCATTTTCTAGATTAAACACTAGGTTTACAAGCCCATAAACATGTCATATGCCATCACTAGATCAAGTCAAGCATAGAAGCAATAGTGATACCATATTGACATCAAAATTCATTTGATTTTCATAAATGAGCCTAATAAGATAGAACCACTTGCAAGGTCCTAATGAGATTGAAAATATGACTAGATGCACTAA